CCCCCCCCCCGCTCTCTCTCCCTCCCTCTCTCTCTCTCTCTCTCTCGGCCCCTCCCCCCTGATATGGTCTCCCCAGGTCCAGCCGTGGTACAAGCGCGGCTCGACCTACCTGACTGCCCTCACCTTCACCGCCGTCATCACCCTGACGGTGGTGGTCATCATGGGCTTCGTGTCCCTGTTCACTCCCACCCCTACGGTTATTCTCATTTCGATTGACGGCTTCCGCCGCGAGTACCTCACTCGTGGCCTGACTCCCACCATCGAGGCCCTCGGTGCGCATGTGTCCGCTTCTCATGGGCTCTCCTCTCTTGCTCCTGATCTCGGCCCTCGGCAAGGCGGCACACAGGCTCTGACATTCCCCCCCCCCCCTGCCTCCTCGGCTTGCCTGCCCTCTCCCCCCCCCTCTCTCTCTCTCTGCCCCGTCGATGGGCCGCGTCTCTTCCAGGCTACCATGGTGCCCGCGCCGAGTACATGGTCCCCCAGTTCCCCTCCAAGACCTTCCCCAACCATTATTCCATTGTCACCGGCCTGGTTCCCACCACGCATGGCATTGTCTCCAACAACTTCTATGACCCGAACTTCGATGCCTACTTCAGCATCTCCGACACCTCGGCCGTTACCGACGCCCGCTGGTGGGGTGGCGAGCCGGTGCGCCTTTCCCCCCCCTCCGCCTCCGCGTCCCTTCTTCCCTGCCCCGCCCCGCCCCACGCTCCTTCCATCCCGACGCCCATCTGATGGCCTTGCCCTCTGTCCTCTGTCCTCTGCCCTCTGCCCTCTGTCCTCTGTCCTCTGTCCTCTGTCCTCTGCCCTCTGCCCCCTGCCCTCTGCCTTCTGCCTTTTGCCTTCTGCCTTTTGCCCTCCCGCCCGCCCGCCCCCCCCCTCGACCGCGTGCTTGTGAATGTCACCGCAGTTCTGGAACACCGCCGAGAAGAACAAGATCAAGTCGGCCTGCATGTTCTGGCCCGGCTCCGAGGCCCCGATTCAGGACATGCGTCCGTCCTACTTCGAGCCGTACAACCATGGGATGCCTCACACCGAGCGCATTGACAAGGTCCTGGGCTGGCTGGATCTGCCCTCGGGCGAGCGCCCCCACTTCATCACCCTCTACTTCGCGGCTCTCGATGACGCCGGCCACTCCTACGGGCCGCACTCTCGCCAGGTTCGTCGGTGGCCATCCCCCTCCTCTCGCTCCTTGCCCTCTCGCCCCCCTGCCCGTCCCCCACCCCTCAGTTGGGCCGTGCCTTGTGCATATGGGCCGCGCCGCGACTTCCCCCTCTCCGCCTGGGCTTCTGCTGACACGCGCTGCGCCCGGCCTGACTTCCCTCCCCCCCCCTCTCGTGTGCTCCCATCGATCCTTGCTCGGCATTCCATTCCCCCCCTCCCCCCCTCCCCCCTCGCCGGGGACCACACCCAGGTTAACGATGCTCTCCGTGACATCGACACCTCGATCGAGTACCTGCTGACCGGCCTCAAGGCCCGGCACCTGGTGGACTCGACCAACATCATCATTGTCTCGGACCATGGCATGTCGCCGGTGGAGACGGCCCGCTCGATCTACCTCGACGACCTGGTGGACCTGGACAACTCCGGCATCGTGGAGATTGTGGAGTGGTCCCCCCTGACGGTCATTCGCATGGGCGATGACAAGGAGGCCGAGGCGGCCCTCTACCAGCAGCTGGTCCGCGCGTCCGAGGAGGGCGAGGGCGGTCTCGAGGGTGGTGCCCCCTTCCGCGCCTACCGCCCGCACAGCACCGACCCGGCCGAGCTGCCTCCCCGCCAGTGGGCCTACCACTCCAACCCCCGCGTCGGGGATATCGTCATCGTTGCGGACCCCAGCTGGGTGATTACCTCGCGCGCGCGCGAGAGCGGCCTCGCCACCGCCTCCATCGAGGAGATCGATGCCACTCGTGCTCCCCTGGCTGCCCCGTTCAAGGGCGGTGCTCATGGCTACGACAACTACTCCGAGGACATGCACTCGATCTTCATTGCCAGCGGCCCTGCCTTCAAGCGCGAGGTCGTGGCCGATTACTTCCTCAACGTCGAGGTGTACAACCTGCTGGCCTCGATTTTCGGCCTGAGCGCCGCTCAGACCGCGCCGAACAACGGCACCTACAACTCGCGCATCTCGCAGCAGATCCTCAAGTGAGGGCGTGCTCGTGCTCGTGCGTGTGTATGCCCGGTGGGCATGTGTTCGCGTGCATGTGTGTTTTTCCCCCTCTCCCTCCTCTCTCTCTCTCTCTCTCTCTCGCATACCCGCGTCTTGTCGTCTCCTTGCATGGAGGTGTGCATGGTGTCCCCCTTTCTCCCCTTCTTTGCTGGGAGCGCCCCTCCTGCGGCGCGAACGGACGGGAGCCCATGTCCTCTCTCTTCCGCCGGGGTCTCCCCCCTCTCCCCCCGGACTCCTTTCGCTGGTCGGCAGATCACTCCCCCTGTCCTTGCGTGTGAATCTTCCCAGTTCCAATCCATCCTCCCTTCCCAATATACAATCGATCAGTGCCCATTCCTCTCTCTCTCTCTCTCTCTCTCCCTCTCTTCCTCTCTTCCTCGTCGATGTCCTGTACGCTCCTCAGTGCCTGTCCGTCTGTGCGCGTGCGTATGCGTGTGTGTCCGGCGCGCCGGGGGGGGGGGGGACCCAGTCGCCGGAGGAGGGCGCGCCGAGCCGCGGGCACCGGCCCGAGAAGGGGGGGTGCGCCCCGGCGCAAGAGATGCGCGGCGGCTCTTGCCCCAGGGCTCGGCCGTCGGCGCCTGTTCCGCTCTTCCAGATTCCGGCAGCACTGTTGCATTGGCACATGGTATCGGCTTGCCCGGGCCCGGGAGTGGCCGGCGCTCCGGGACATTCCATGCAGACACGCTCCCGGACGGGCATTCTCCGCAGTTCGCGGCAGACGAGCATGCTCTCGAGCGTCCTCCTGCCGGGGGCGGGGAGGGGGGGGGGGGGAATTGGCAGGATGCCCGGACCGCGGCCCCGGGCCTCTCGGCCCGTGTCTCCGCCGCCGTGTCCGTCGGGTGCTGGACCTCGCGCCCGCCCGCCCGCCCGCCCGCCCGCTCTGTCCTCTGGGGGCACCCCAGGTTTTCGCGTTCTTCCCATGCGTCCGTGTGTGCGCGGGTGCGCCGGCCGCGGTGCCTTGACGGTGCGCGGGCCGGTGGAGGCGACGCTACCCCGCGGGGAAGCCCAGTCTGGGTGGC